GCAGCAGACTTTGGCCATTCTTGGGCTACGGGGGTGTAGCAGTGAATTATATTCACAAAGCATAGCTCCTAACCTCCTCCTCTCTCTGCTGATGGACACAGCAGTAGAAGGCTGTAGGATGTGCATTGGCAATACTCTCCAGGACAAGTTGTGTGGACAAGTTGCTCTTCCATTCTCATTCTTATCAGGAAAAGGCAGTGGTTCCAAACTCTGATCCTTCCAGTAATGGATGCTGGAGGATGCATTTGGCTATCTGGGCTGCAATCACTGCTCAAATAGCTGTTTCCTGTCTTCTGTTGGGAAAAGTCAAGGACCAGATGGTGATGCAGGGTCAAAGCACTGCCAGTGCAAAATCGGGATCATTAACTTGATCTCCCCTCAGATAATACTTGTTTATTGTCAGAATAACATATGCCTTGTGAAATGTTAAAACTTTACCTTATAATTATTCTGTTAGGGAAAAAAAGCCTCCCTTTATCTACTAACTCTACCTGATTAAGTAAGAGCATAACTGTTACCCAACACTGAATTGGAATTTATTCTTTATTTTTGAATGTAAAGCCAGCTTAACATCCCCTTAACCTTCACAGAAAGCTCATGTTCTTAGGTTGGAATCATGCCCCTAGTATCCATACTTGATGGCTTCACATGATGTACTGACTATCCATATGTGTGTCCATCTGTTCCGTTGGCATGATGCCCTCCCACAAGTCACTGGACAGTTGCCCTAGGACATAACTGAGGTCTGAATGCTTGCTTAATACTTCATGTGGCTTCCTGTCTGTGTGTGTATGTGTGTGTGTCGTAATTCTCCTGTTTGCAATGGACAAGAGAGAAAATATTTGCCCAATTCACTTTAGGCAAAACATTTAAATGCAATGAAGAACATCTTTGGGTAGTTTTGTTTTTTTTTGGTTTTTTTTTTTTTGGTGCTAGAAAAACGGTAAGCAATTCCATAGAGTGAGTGAGAGTCAGATTTCTAAGCTAAGCATCTAAATCTAAACAATAGCAAAACATTGCTATTTGTTGGGAAGAAGAGCAAATATATATAAAAAAAAAAAAAAAAAAAGAAAAAGAAAAAAGTCAATACTGAATAATATTAATGAGGCAGACTGTTTACGAACACCAGAATAAAATTTTTATGTGCTAAAGACTAAGTGGAGGTAGACAGGAAATATATCACGACTTCTAAAAGGCTGGATTTGGAAGGTCTTCACATAATGTTTAGTTTTGTCAGCCTTGTTTTTCAAGTGATCACAATTGTTGCCTAAATAGCTAAATAAAATTGTATTTCTCTTTTTTTTTTTTTCTTTCTGTTTTTGGGTGGCATCTAGCTCATAGTCTAGAGCTCAATCCACTTCAGCAAAATGAGTTATTCCAAAGTCCTGTTACTGCAGACCCTCCAGCCAGTGACTCAGGCTCTATCTCACCCTGAGGTGCTCTATTGTGCTTTCATCCTTCATCTTGAGCTCCTATTAGGCTCCTTTAGCATTTCTTGGCAAATCTTACAATACGATACGTACTCATAGTTTTTGCTTCTGATTTACTCCTTGGGGACAATATAGGGAAGGAAGAAATGAGTAGAGGAATAAATAAATAAATAAATCACTTAAAGAACAATTAAAACTTTTTGCAAATCGACATCCTGAAAGATATTTCCTAATGTTTCCTATAAAACTAAATTCTGGTTGTTGCTCACAGAGAGATTGTGCTCTGGCACATTCACCCCATCCATGAACTTTTTTCAGAAAAACTTAATACTTCAGTGAACTAGGTTCTGAATTTAAGGCCTTATTAGACATCTTGGATTTCAATTTCCTGTAAAAGCCCACGTCTTTCTTGAGTATCTGTTTAAAATACATTACAATAACCTGTTTGAGATATAACCTGCTTCAGGCATAGTACAAAATGGAATTCATAATACAAAATAATGCAGTGTTCACAGCCACAGAAAACTCTGTCAAACTGCGTGTTCACTAAGCTGGTTAAGACAGCTTTCATTACTTAGGTATCTATATGGGAAATGAACTCTGTTTACAATCTTCTTGTAATGGCCTGAGCTGCAATGAAACTGGCTAATAATCAAGAATAAAAAGGGTTGATGCTAAGTCATCACATATCTGGTCTGGAAAATATCCTTTAGCAGAACCCTGTCATATATGTCAAAGTGTGTTTCTCTCATAATAGTCTATTTGCTGCAGTCAGTTCTTGTTGATTTTGAAGCTTAATAACTCTAGGCATTGATTATCATTCAGCTTTCTAAATTGATGACCCTCAGCAACAGAGTAACATGTATCTTATTAGTGTTTCCCAAATGTCTCATTTGAGATTTGTTGTTTCTGTGGAGCTTTGTAAGAAAAGTAGAAGTGTGATTTATGTGTAACTAATTGATTCATGTAAATTGGTGCTTGGCAAATTGAAATGTGTTGATGTCTTAACTGCAGTTTCTTGAATTTATACATTCATAAAATACTTATAGCACACATGCATGTAGGTAGATGCATGTGTATTCTGTACATGAAATACTGTTATCAGTTTTCATCATAAAACCAGATTGTTTATAATATGATCAAGCTTGAATTATTTAACTTTAATTTTTATATTGGCTGTTTTATACCAAATCTCTGATTTTATGAGAGTACTTGGTAGAATCCAACAGCTGTTTAGAAAAGCGGCAAATGGGCATTTCTAGTAACAGAGTGGAGATGAAACCTGACCTGTGCAGAGTTACCTATTTCTCTTCAGACTGTAGAAGCTTTTAAGGAAAACTGGTCCTTTTAGGTAGCCACATACCCTTCATGTTTTCTCCAATAATTAATTCATGATATGCTGGACCAATATAGATTAAAAACTAATAATAAGATGACAAGAAGAAACATAAGTGCAAAGTGTGACACTCAAAACTTTGTTGCTTCATTACAACAGTAAATATGATAGATGGGAAAATGAATGATCACACCTGAAACTCCACTTTATGCACTTGAATGTCTGATATTTTTTTTGTGAAAGATTTAATGAGACTGACAGATTTTATATGATGATTGAGTTAACTTTATTTCAGGAAATTAAAATGTGAAAATTGTATTTTATTCAAGTTATTTCTGATGTTCATGCCACAAATTTAAAAATATTCCATTTATTTAACTTTTTTTTTTAAATGTATAGACTGTGCATTTTCTGTGGAGTGCAACTGCTACAGTCCATTGCAAGCTCACCCTTTTCTAATTGCTGTAGTTAAATCTGTGCTAATCTCCTTTGCAAGTATGGCATAGAACATGTTATAAATACAACAAGAAGGGCAAAATAAATTGTGCAGTAAAGGTCAAAATGAAAAAGCCCACAAAGAGTATAATGAAGTCTATTGGCTGGGATTCAGCTATACACTTTGCAAACGAGAATTTTTTAGTCTGTGCGAAGACCCGTTGACTTAAATGTCCTGCAGAGCATTATCAGTACTGTGTACTTTGCGTATTATTTTATTTATCTTTATGTTGTTTGGATACTGTATTTAATAGCATGCTTCATGTAGATATCTGAAATGGTGGTAGAACTGAAATATTTGCTAATCCCCTACTATCCAAACAAGCATGTGATTTGACATGATATCTAAACTCCTGCCCTGATGTTTATTTTACTTTAAAAAAAAAAAAAAAAAACCCACTTCTTAGAGGCCCTCTACTTTTACTTCCCTTCTACTTGTATTAGGGATTGACTTCGGGAGAGGCAGGTAAAGGGAGCTGAAAGATATTCCTCTGTTGCAACAGTGCAATCCTGTGAGGCACAGAGCTTGGTGTACCTCAAATTTCATTGTGTATCGTGTTAAGGAGCTTAGTACCTGAACTGCAGCATACAGCTCTGTATTCTAGCTCAGACTATTTTCTTATCTTTACAGGAAATTTCATATATCCCTGTAAATCTGGGCAGAAGGAAATTGTAGCATTCTGTTAACTTAGAAGCAGATCCATCACAGTGCCCCTGAGCAAGGAGATATCAAAACAAGTCTGCTACTCTCTATGCTGCAGAAAATTGAATTTGTTTCGAGGTCTTTTGAAATGAATTTCAATGTCCAGGAGATAAAGTTGAGATTTTTTTTCACTAACACTGATCTTGAATGAGTTACTCTTAATGTGCAGAAATGTGAGAGATGATTTTGGATCCATGCAGTGCATTTTCAAAACCAATTTCATGTTTGCTTTGGATCTTGCTTTTGTGATTCTTAGTTGTGCTAAGGTCTGGTTGAAAAAGTGCTACACAAGTGCTCTCTGGGAAAGTTTTAACTAATGCAAATTTCCATAAAGTTACCTGGGGAGAAATTTTGATTTTTTTCTTGGAAAGACAATGAAATGAAAGAAGTAAATATGGTTATTATTATTATTATTATTGCTATTATTATTATTATTATGCATGACAATCTTTCAAGTGGGAAATATTAAAATGTCACAATTACTGGTGTGAGTTGAAAATCATCTACAATATACTGTATTTGCTGGATTCTCCAGGCACACTGCATCTCCTGTGATAGCTTATAAGTCAGTAACCTAGGATTAGCAAAGTACTGTAAAAATATTTCAAAACAAAACTTCCTGTGGCTGAGAAAACAAAAATAATCCCATCTACATTGATTTTTTTATGAAACGAAGCATTTATTTTCATTTCTTCTTAATTGGAAAACATTGGCTTGGAGTTTCTTTGTCAGCAGTCGAAATTGTCCATTATACTTCACACATCCAAAACGCTTTAAATTGGATTGTATTTGCTTCGGTTTCAGACATGCACTGTGCTTTTGTGCCTTTGTCAGGTTCATTGCTGAGACTAGCTGCAAAATGCTAGTTGTAATAGATTGTATCTGTACTGTGTATTTGTATGGGAACTGCTGAACCATGGCCTGACCTCTGATTGATCACCTGAGGCGAGCAATGATTCAGCCATGGGAGCACAGGTGAAGGCAATTCACCTGTGCTGCCGAAAGGGAGGAGCCAGGCTCTCCTACACCCATTTGAGAGCTGACTACCACTGGGAAAGGATATCTTCTGAAGATCCCTCCTCTGGAGTTTTGTAGTGAGCCCATGACACGAGTAAGCATTCTGTCTATTCTCTTTTTGTTATTATAATCTGCTCTGCCAAACTCTTGTTTATTTCGTAATTATAAGATCTTTATATTCATTGATTATGCTGTATTCCTAAGTAACGTATCCAAATTCATGTGCCTAACTTAGGAAACAGTTTTTCTGAGAGTGAAAATATTCTGACTGTAAAAGTCTCGGGTTGTCCTTTGTTGTTAGGCAACTGAAGACAGAAGGCTCTATTGCTGTATGACTCTAGGGTGACTGTATGCCCTTTACAAGGAACAAATGTTCTTCACTTCTATGAGTACACTTTATCTGCTTACTTTTCAAGTTATGCAATATTACTGTTTCTGTATTCAGGCTTGTTGTGAGTTCTGTGCTAATCTTGTGCTATTACTGCAGTAGACCTGTGTAGCCTTATGGCATCCGAGGAAAGCAGAGGCTAACCTCACTGAACTGTAATTGGCAAGGGAACTGAAGGGGTGGATGGAGGCAGAAAATAATCTGACATGAGAAAATAAGTAGGAGCAGTACATGTTCTGCAAGCCAGCAGTTTTCAGTCTCAAAGCAAAATCTAGCAATCATTTCAGATTGAGATGTCTCTCAAAGCCAGTGGGAAAGAAAGGAAATTCATCTGTACTCTGCCAAAATCTATTGCCTAAAACTGTGTAAACATTAACCAATATTAAAGTGTGTCTGAAAAATAAGAATGAAAGTCAGTTCATGTCCAACTGAGAGTCCATCCAGGACTCACATTAGCATACTCTCAATCTTTATTCTTTGCTTTGCTGGAATTTACTGTTGCAAGCTAATATTACTTTAATGAAGCATTCTGTAGCTTGATTTTTTCATTGTTTTAAAAAAATAAAAACAGTGTATAACCCACTAGGGAAGTATGTGCGAGCCACTACAGTAGACCATAGCAATATCTTCATGGCTATTCCTCTCTAAAGAGTCTGAAAGGGATATTATTTATCCTTGAGGTTTTCTTAAAGCTGTTAGAAAGCATGTAGTAAAATCCTTGCTCAAACAGTTGCTGATGTTTGCTTGTTGTTAAATGCTATTTTAAAATAGTAATTTTCCTGTTTAATGGCAAGTTTTTAATTGTCAGAGCATTAGACTGTGCATAAATGTTCTGATTATTTATCTTGAGCCCTTAATTGCTTCATGTCAGATTTTCCTTTTTCCTTTCGATGACTGTTAGTGGGATATTATTCTCTGTTGTAACAGTAGCAATCGTTAAGTGAAGTTCACATGTCTGCAGAAGTCTAGTGTGAGCCTGCTAGTGTCTTGAATGACTTTAATATCCATATAAAGCAGTATGAAGGCAAAGTTCATTCAAACAATAGAAACTGTGTAGATGGATCCTCTTGCACAAGTCTAGCAAAGTGCTGGTTGGCTCAGTGGGTTCTACTTTTGCCTCTGCAGAGTTATCACTCACCTGGTAATGACACACTTCAGAGAATGTGAAGATCGTTTTTGCAGCTGGGTTAGTTCTTATAGCAAAAGACACTTTTAACAATGTTTTACAATAATCTGCTTAGATTTTTGAGGTGAAATCAAAATTTTACTCAAGTCATCAAACTCTGATCTATTGTCTAGCATCCCTGCCCATGGGAGAAGAGGTTGAAACTACATGATCTGTAAGGTCCCTTCCAACCCAAGCCATTCTGTGATTCCATTATTTTTCTGTTAAGCACTTGAAGTCTCATAAAAACTCGATAATTATTATGTAAAAGAATGTAATTCTGTTCAGGAAGAATCGTCTATAAATCCTGTCCTAAGGTTCAGGAAAGTGCCTTACCTCTCATGGTAGGGCATACTCCTTCAGGAAATGCGCTGTGGTAGGTGTTGAGCAATTATCTGTTGCAAAGAACGCCTGCTGTGAAGTGGCATGGAAACAGCTACTTAATCTCGGCACAAAGTGGATGCTTTCATTGTCTTTAATGGTAGTGAGCTGTCTAAGCCCACTAAGCTTGTGAAAGTGATGGGAAGCATAATGAGTTAGCTTTGTTTAGAGGGTTTCAAGCTGTGGTTGATTGGCAGGGTCTTCACTGATTCAACTAATACTCAATAAAGCTAAATTCCCATATGTTGCCCTCAAATGGAAGATTCTAGTTTTAACAAGCTATGCCATTTGTTGACTTTAATGATAGATAGATGCAAAGCTCAGTTCTTGTCACTCTCTCTCGGTGTTGTTACAGTTTAGAGTATGTACCTTCTTGTTCACCATAAGTGCTACATGAAGTGCTAGCCGGTGCCAAGCTTTGGCAAAGTCTGGAGTCCTACTCACGTCAGCGACATTAGGGATGCAGAACTTAAAGCTGCAATTGAATTCTTCCTGTAGTACCTTTCTAAGAAAGGAGGCCTTAAGCTGTGCAAGCCTGTGAGTACCATAGGCTCATAAATAGATCTTGAAAACCTAATTTTGTTTTCATCTGCCTGACTTGTTGGGAGTGTGTATTTATGCCTTGTAAATACAGTGTAAATCATAGAATCACCAAGGTTGGAAAAGATCTAAAAGATTATCCAGTCCAACCATTCACCTATAGCTCCCACTAAACCATGTCTCTCAACACAACATCCAGTCTTTCCTTGAACACACCCAGGGTCGATGACTCCAGCACCTCCCTGGGCGGTTCATTCCAGTGCCTGACCACCCTTTCTGAAAAGTAACACTTCCTAATGTCTGATGAAATTTGAAACCAAAGTCAGAAGATGAAGATCACTACATGCTGCTACAATGTAAATTAAAGCTACACTCATCTTGGGGAAAAAAAAAAAACAGACTTTGTTTCCAGTTTTTCTATCTGAACTGTACTTGCAGAATACACTTGCTGTTGAAAAGATAATATAAAATATTGAGATTCGTAAACAAGTGACATACGAAAATCTAGTATTAAAATGTATAAGAAAGAAAATCAGAACCTGTGTTGATTGTAGTCTAAATTAATAGCACACTGATTTCTATGGTATCCAGAGCTGTCACTTTAACTTTGCATCTTTTGAATCATTTCTAAATATAAAGAAATATGAAAAGCACTATGTGGTCTGAAGTAATGAGTATGCATATAAGTTGTTGGGAATTTTTTTAAACTATTAGGCGTTTAAATGAAGATTTTAAAAATTATAGTTAATGTGATTTAAATATCAATAAAATATAGCAGATTTTTAACGATTTCACAGTGTCACTATCTGATATTTATGTACTTTATAAAAATTATTACAGATTATTTTGTTATTACATATTCATAAACTGGAATACGTAAACTTTGTCATGCCTACTGCTATAGCATACTGTAGCATCCCTAATAGCAATGTGTTACTGGAATTTTCTATTCAGTTAATACTGTGCTATTTGATAAAACTTTTGTCCAGAGACAGATTTGATCAGTCAGCCCTGTGACTGATATATAGTGCTGTTGCTGTTCAAAAATGCTGAGAATAGCAGGTAACACTTGAGGACTAATTTTTTGCAAGACTTTTATCTTCAGGTCCCTGCAGAAATGTCACATGAGTTATGTCTTGACGAAATACTCTAGAGAGTGGAGAAATTAAGGTAGAAACATCATATATTGCTAAAGGGCTTTTACACTGTATCCATTCAACTAATCCTAACCTGTTGCCTGGGACAAAGTTCAGCCTTTTTATTTTTTTTTCTGCTTTGTTGCTGTGCATGTCTTCTCACCCCCATGAAGAGCCAATATTGCTGTTTTCCAGTTATAAACAAAGTGTTATTGTCAGAGCTCCAGTCCATTGTGCAGCCAGACTCTGTCCCAGTTTGCAGCTAGGATGCTTTGGACTCACATCATCTAATGTGTATTTCTTTTCACAAGGCAGAGCTCATTCTGGTTCCCTAGAACTTTGTGGGTGTGAATCTATAATGTACACTTGGAATGGTTTAGGCATGCATCTAATTTTGTGAGAGCTGGCATGGTAGTTAATGCAGGGAAGGACAAATTTACATTTTCATAGTAAACATTTAGTTATAACTCTTTCTGGTACTGAACTACTCTGATTTTTGTGCCTGTGTTAGAATACTGTGTGCCTGTGATTGTCATGGTGCAAAATAGAGTAACTACTTGCATTTGTTTTCTGAATCATACAGGGATGTTTTATATCATTCAGCACTGTTAAAAATACCATTATTTATTATTTCTCCTTTGCAGCTCTCATCTGCCAGAAATGTTCAGCTTTATTCAGCACTTTTATACCCTCAGGAAACACAAGAACACTGTTCTATGCAGTCAAGATACATTAAAAATTTCCCTCTTATATGGACAGATTGTCTCCTGAGGGTCACTGTAGCACCTGTGCTTTCTGCCACTGTGAGAAAACTGGTCATGCTACTAAAGACCAACAATGGTGGCACAAACATTCTACCTTGTCCCCCAACCTCTTCCATGCTACAGAACAAAGAAATTAAAAACATTTTGGAAGTCAGTTAAACTAGTACAAGTTCTCATCTGTTAGGTGAAATGGAGTTACATCATTCTCCTGCTAGCAGACTAAGTCTTAAATCTTGACTGGAGAGAACAGTTTAGAATGAAAAAATATATCAGTCCTTCTCTCAGAAAAATTACAGATATATCAGTAAATAAAATATTCATAAAAGCAGTAAAAGTTCCTAGCCTATCAAAATTCTATGCTGATTAAAAAAAATTACAAGGTAGTAGCAAAAGCTCTATAGTTACATCCCTACTGGTAGTATAGGTAATTTTGAAAGTTAAAATATAACATCTCAGTGGAAAAAGCTCACAATATGCTGTCATGCCATGGGCAGATGTGCCATATACTACTGGCTCATGTCCAGCTTTTCATCCACTCCAAGTCCTCCTCCCCAGGGCTGTTCCTAATGACTTCTTCTCCCAGCCTGCCCATGTATCTGGGATTGCCTTGACCCAAGAACAACACCTTGCACTTGGCCTTGTTGAACTTATTAGGTTCACCTGGGCCCAATTCTCAGGTGCTTTTGTTAGGCTCTTTGTTGTTGAGCCTTTCCATGTCAC